TAAATACAGTTTTGTATTTTGTATTAACCATAAAGGATACTAAAACAACGTACATACAGTAGGTTATAATTGCTCATAATGAGGAAAGACATTTATATACAGGTATATAAAAAGAAGACTGCTTTTGTTTGCTATTTTAGATTAGTTTATTAGATTAGATATATTGATCCCAAACTGGGAAAAGTATAAATATACATATCGCGTTCATTTTTAGCTTGAGTACGCTTAACCTCCGATTCCAATGTCTCGCAGGTATTGAGTAAGAACTCGAGATTTATTGTGGAAATAATTGATGTGATATGTGAAACTGGGATGTTTGACAGCTTTAAGTGCTGTGGAGATCAGCCACAAACCATAACTCATTACTGATTGGTTGACGGGATCATTTATTCTCCTGGCACTGTATTTCAATAACCATTAACATGAATGCATTTAGACGCAATCTTGACATAAATGTGCCAAACATATGTCTGAACGTTACCATGAGGAGGTTGTTATGTAAACGTTTCTGATATTTAGCTCCAGGCTCAAACTGAAAAGATGATAAGATCAAAGAGATCACGATCAGCGCTGCAGGACCGTGTTCTCACATGCAACATGCAAAACACCATGCATGTGGACATGCACATTAGTCTCTGTATGCATTTGATATGAGCCTTTACAAAAGTGACGTGAATCCATGACATATGCTGTATATATATAACACCAGGGGCAAGCTGTAGAAGAACATTATTTACAGTGTGTCTGTTGCTTATGGTATCAGAGGAGTGTTGTGCATGGGTACAGTGAAGCTGTAGTTTAATCACTGTTTTTACATGCAAAAATGTATCAAATGATTAAGAGTCTGCATTTTGACAGTCTTCAAGCTCATTAGTTTGAAGCATTGCATTAGACAAGCTGTATGTGAAAGGCCCATTTCGATAAAACTTCTTTAGTATAGCAAAGAATGTTGTGAACATATAACTTTAAATACTGATCACCAGTTTCTGTCTTGCCCTTTCTTCGAATCAGTTGCGTCTTCAAATATATTCGTAAGCATTAACATGGCTATATAGCTGACACGAAAGACCAATGAAAACTTGCACAATTTAAACAAACTCCTGAAAACAACTACATTGCTCTCCCTGACTCTCTGATGGATACATTGGCTCAGAAGGAGGATATCAACCCTGAGCTAAAGTAAAGCCCAACAATTTGACTTTATAATAGGGTGACCAGACGTCCCCGTTTTCCGGGGACAGTCCCCGTTTGTATTGACCTGTCCCCGGTTGAAACTGTCCCCGGAAATGTCCCCGTTTTTTTAATATACGTTAAAAACACATAGCAAGGTGAAATAAAACGTTTCATGTCAGGAAACACTGGGTAAACAGACTGTGGTCAAGCCAGCCCCCACTTCGAAAAACACAGTCAAGCCAGCCCACACGTTGTATAGCGGTGCGCGAGTATCCTATGCATTACGGTAGAGGCATGTAAAAACTGCCTTCAAAATAAAAGCGTTTACTCGGTCAATAACAAATATACCTAAAAAAACACACCAAACATATTCATATACTGGAGCTTAAATCAAGAAATATGTACAATATAATGTGATCAATAATAATTTAAAAGAAACTACGTATAACTACCACATTATAACTGAGTGAATGTAAAATGTAAGCATACAGTTATGAAGACACATCTGACATTTCCACTGGGTGACTAATTTCAATTGATGTTGACACCATCTCACAACACTGCTAAAATAACATTACTTTCTGAAGCACAATTTAAAATGTATGCAGTTTAAAATCTCAAATTAGATCTATTGTCCGTCTATATTTTGATTTTAATGTAAACTTTCCATAATCAAAGAGTCATTCGAAGTCAATCAAATACTTATAGTCAATCAGAGAAAATCCGAATAATCTGATGTAGAGTTTCAAAATAAAATACTTTTGAAATCTCATATATGGGCTATCGTCCTTCTGTTTTTATACAAGAATAAATAAAAAACTGTCAAATTATCAAAGACTTATTTCACTCCAGGGTGATAGTAGGACACCCCATCTAGTCACTCAGAGAGAATCAGGACAATCTGAAGTAGAGTTTCAAAATAAAAGACCTCTGAAGTCTCATATATGAGCTATCATCCCTCTGTTTTTAGATAAGAATAAAACAAAAACTATCCAGTATCAAAGCCTTATTTCAATCCAGGGTGATAGCAGGACACCCCATCTAATCACTCAGAGAGAATCTGGACAATCTGATGTACAGTTTCAAAATAAAAGACATTTGAAGTCTCATATATGAGCTATCGTCCTTCTGTTTGTATCCAACAGTTCAAATGTTCGAATTACATTGAACCAGAATTGTCCCCCTTTTTTCTTTAACAGTGAAGAAAAGTGGATATGTTAATGATATATTGACCGCAAAACTCAAAATGTCCCCGGTTTTAATTTTGAAAATCTGGTCACCTTACTTTATAAGGTTGACAGAAATATGACTCCAAATCATTAACGATGCTTCATAAAAATGTGGAATCTCAGGGAGAAGGCTGAGGTTGTCGCCAAACTGGACAATGTTAGCATTGCTGTTATGAGCTTGTTAGGAGGGCAATGTTAGCATTTAGCTCAAATAACTGCTGTAACTAAGTCCCACAGAGCTGTAGCTAGCACGCATCACTGTGGACCAGACAACATGATTATTGATTTTGTTGTATTAAGACAAGGCAAGGCAAGGCAAGTTTATTTATATAGCACATTTCAACACAAGGCAATTCAAAGTGCTTTACACAAATGAAAGACATTAATAGCATATTAAAACATATTATAAAATGAAAACACAAATTTAAAAGCAATGATATAAAATGACAAAGATACATGAATAAAAGTTACAAGGCAGTGTGAGATACACACATCTGAAATGTTTAGGTCTGACTCTCAATCATTGCTAACTTTTTAGCAGAAATAGTTTTCTATCATCTCCCTTTCTTTCCTCTTTCTTGTTTAACTTGTCCTTTAGAAAGACAAGTCCAATCTGCAAACTTGAAATAAATATTCAGAAGATGTAGGTAGCATCAATGTCATTACCTTTTCTAGCTTAGACTGCAAAATATCGACACATTTAGCAGGCTTTTCTTGTAACTACGTCCAACGCCAGGTCTGTTGGGTTTAGAAAATCTTAAATGTAAGTATACAGTAAAACGTAAAGCTGAGCTGAGCTCCAATGCACAGAGTCCCCTTTTCTGAACCAATAACAGGCTGTGATGGGAGCCAGGGCCTCTGACAGGTCACACTGCCTCTGTTATCACTGCAGGAGAAACCACAGATGGATTTAGCTCAATGATGAAACTCATAGGTATTTCTGGTATGTGGCAGCTGTATCATTTGGCATAACAATGCACCTTGTTCTGTTTTTCATTATGTAAGACAAGTTCTACCAATGAAAGCTTGGGAAGACTGCTGTGTGCTGCACTTTATCGGTGGTGGGGAGGTTGCACCTGATGAACCTGATGACATTATTCTTCTCCTCCCCTTAGTGCTACAACTTAGTCGATGTACGAAATCTGCTTTGTACCCTCCTCACCATTAAGTCAGGGTTTAAGAAGGGAACATAGAATCCATCTCGACTGAACTTCAATGAGACACATGGGAAGCTAGTTTTGAGCACAAGCTATTATTGGAAAATCACCCGTATTAACATCATATTCCAACAAGAATCTGATGTACGTTGTTGGCTACATTGTTGTTAATGTGAACCTCTTCGTAAATTACTCATCAGTGCTATGGCGGCTACAGAAATACCGCAAGGAGATCGCATGGATTGTGATTGGCTAACTGTGTTTCTTCCTATACTTTAAGTGTTATACCTGGGTGGCGATTGTTGAGAGTGAATACATTATAAAGCAACGTCATTAAACTGCAAAAAGGCATTAGAAGTTACTTGGATGTAGCTTCAGTTAACAAAAACACATTCTTTGGACGACACTAGAGGTAAATGGAGTAATATTTCTATGCAATAAATATCACCATCGACCATAGTATTCATTTTGCAACGTTGCCAGTTGATTTCCTACATAAAGAATATCCCACATATTGTTGGTATTACAATATATAAAATGTTATGTTAAATATTTAAATTTGGCTCTATGCTAACTTTTTGTAAATTTAGAAGAAATCTACAGAAGAAATAGACACATTTAGAAAAGTAAACACAACAAAGGTTTTCTTTTCACCATTCTTTAAGTAGAAAGCAAAATAGCTTAAACTCAATGTTAAAAAGTGCATGTTTTTCCCTGTAGTGTCTCACCTTAACAGGGAAGATGTATTACAAGTAAAACACAACCTGATTACTTTTCATAATTCCACCTAATATTGAAGTGTTGCTATGAATGTTGTAAATCTTATGCTTATCAAACATACAACGTAGGTATATGACAGAACCATTTGACTATAAATGCAGGCTGGCTACATACTTCTTAAAGCCACATTTAAAATGTATACATAAGGGGAATTGCGTGATGCTCAGAACATAGATTTCAAGGAACTATTCCTGTAACATGTCCATTTTAATCTTCTATATAACTCTGTATGAACATCATTTAAAGGTCTAAATCGCCCACCTTTCTGTATTAAAACAATTAAAAAGGTATGAGTAAATTCAACAAAAACACAACAGATGGACTCAGAAAGGTTTTTTCTCATTTCGTCCAATCAATGGCTGTGTACTGTTCTTCCCTAACACCTGCCATGAGACGGGCCCATCCATCAGAGCGAGGCGGTGATTATCATTAGTTTCTATCAGAGGAGCACGCTTTCATTTTATCTCAGAGCCAGACTTCCTCGGGCCTCTCCGGAGTTCCTGATATAGGCGTAGCAGTTAATGAGGGAAATACCCAAAGTTAAATCGAGCATGGAAGCCTGAGAGGGGCGAGAGGGAGGAGGGAGAGGCTGGAGCGTGAGAGGAAAAGTATCAGGAGAAAGAGAGAGGGATGCCGGGAGGACGGAGAGGCGTCTCTGCTGTGGCTGTGAGGGTCTCTGGCATGATGATTTGGGACAGAAAATGAAAATCACATTGCCAGGGATTTCTACACTGCTGCAGTGTCCTCTACAGCTGCTTCTGGAGGAGGATACCTGGGATTTCATACAAGGAGAGTCACACTTTCTTCTTTTTTAATCACATTTCTGCAAGAGGAGTTCTTCACAGTGTTGATAACTCTGAGAATACAATCATTTTTTAAGGCAAGATCAGCGGATCAGTGTTTTTGTGTGCTGTGTATCTGCTGTTTCTGATCAGGTGCAGAGCTTAGTCGACTGCTGGACAGGGAGTCTCAGCAATTTGTTCACAGTGGCTAAGTTCTTCACTTGTGCAGAGTTGATGTATGACAGAAAAGCTTATTACTCACTTTAATGTACATAATGTTTTCCAAAAATGTGAACGATTTTGAAAAGTCTCCCACAAAAAACGAAGGGAATCTGAAGATTTTGTGCTCAAACTGTAAACAAGTAGGTTATTAGGTAGATAATTAAAGTCTGATCAAAAAGACCAAAACCAACAATCAGTTTGTCCTAGTAGCAAAACAGTGTTAGTAGAAGTAAGTCAAAAATAAACTACAGTGAGTGTGTGTTCATGGTAATGAAGGAGCAACAGTGTAGCTCCCATGTTTTGTAATAGATAACATGAGCTCTATGGCACAGAGGAAGAAGATATGTAGGGTGTTGATACACAGTTTGTTACTTTTACATGTGTGCAAGCCTGAAAATACTCCATAAGAAATACATGATTGTTTGAGTTTGAGTTGACCTGTTTGTGTAGTTTCTAAAAACTACACATCCTGGCTGTTATAGCACATTGGGCTCTTTATATAAATGAAGGGTTAAATGGGAAAGGCATTGAGTGCTATTGACAGGGAAGGATAGTCACAAAAAATTGAGGTACAGATTCATAAATAGTTGGATTTGATCTTTTTCGGGGGATTTGTTAACATCAAAAAACATTATTCACAATTATTTATGTAATTATTAACACCATATCCAACATGCATTAACACAGCCATAATTATTGAACATTTAAAAAACAAGCTACAATGTTATTTTTTTTCATAATTTATGTTGAATAACATCTACTTTATTATTAATGAAACATTAATTGAACGTAATTGATTTGTGTCAATGAAGGGACAACAAGGTTGTGTATTTCAGCTGTCAAAGACAAAAACAAGACAAAAAGAAAAGTATCTTTGAAATACAGGATGTTCCCAGAAAGAAACATTCAGGATTTTGTCTCCCTCTGTCTTTGTATGTGTGACATAGATTATCTTGGAGAAGAATAACATTTGCACAGGCATGCATTATCAGATGTAATCAGAAGTTTTGTGTTTCCTTCCCTGTGTTGTGCGGAATGACGGACAATTTGTTAATGATTGATAATATCATCATATACATCAAAGTGTATTGGATATATAACAAGTGTCCAATGATTAGTTGCCTGTGACAATGAAAATAAAGGAAATGTGTTTTGCATGAGGGTTGAATTCCTGCCATGTCTTGTTTAATGTGCAGAATTTGACACTTCTCAGAGGCTTTGCACGGTGCCACCAGGGGCCACATGTGGATTACTCCCAGGAAACATCTGGCCTCCCTCTGGTGCCTTCTGAGCTGAGCGCAGTTAGATCTCACACACTGGCTCAGTTCAGCAGGAACAGGAGTCACGTCAACACACAACGTTTTGTCCTGAATGCCGAGCCAATGATCTGTGGTCACATTCAGGAAGGAAAAGTACAGGGATCATGTGGGATCTCATTTGGTCAGTTAGCATAATACTAGTTAAGTTAGCAAAATGTTTTTCTTTTCTTCAAAAGTTCTCTAAGTACTTCTTTGTTTGGCAGATGTTGTCCATACAGTACTGCATTATATATTTCAGGTTAATATATCATAAGATTGTGAGCTCTCTAAGATAATTCACACTTAAAAGATTATCTAAACGTTATTAAAATAAATTAAATAATAAAAAAACTAGATATTTTCCCACAAATTGCTCTTGCTATTTAACCTAAGAAAATGTGTTTAAACAAAGACATATTTGAAGTAATTTCTGTATCAAACCTGGCCTAATATTCTCCTCTTGCTACAATAAATCCAATGAATATGTTCTATCAAGAACATTTCCTATAGGCTATAGTAATACATATTGTATAAAATCTATGTTCAACATCACTTGAGGCACTACATATAAGGCCATTTATATATCTCTACTAGGGGGTGTTAACTGGTTATTGCTTTTTTTTTTATTAATAAAGGAATCAATTTATGGAGGAAAAATATCAAAAAAAGGTAATGACGTAGTAATGGTGTAGTACTAGTTTCCATCCTCTAGAGGGCGAGCGTGTTCCTAAAGGGTGCGACACGAAAAAGAGAAGAAGAGAATGCGAAACAACAAGAACACTTCGGTAACGTGCTCAGTGCAGAAAATAAAGATTTAAATGTACATTACAGCGTGGAAGTTACTCACAAACATCTCTAGTCTGGAGACTTTAGAGACTCAGATATGTGCTCTAATGGACACCGTGGTGGAGGAAGCAGTGGCGGAGCTCGGCAGACTCCTGGCCGCTCAGCAGTGCTCTTCCCCGGCTACAGTCTGTGCAGTGAAGAGCGAGGAGGAAGAGAGCGAGGTGACTCCACCGGGGGGGAGACACCTGTGTGATGATAATACTATAACGGTAACACACACACTGGCTCAATACTGTTTTGTTTGTTGGTCTATTAATGAACTGACTCGTGCTCCATGCTTAAGTGTTAGCCAAGTTTTAATGAAGCTCTTGTTCGGGTACATACGCTGTGTCTGTCTACTATATTCAAAATTCCCCAAATAATTCCCCTACAAATGCAGATGTTACTCCTTGAGTTCGAGTTACATTTGCTAAAAACTACACATCCTTTCTGCACATAATTGTACTTGTTTTACGGACTTGTAACCGAGTATTCCTTCACTCTAGTATTTGTACTTCTTCCACCTTTGCACCAATGTTATAAACATTCAACTTGGCTAACAATAAGTTACATGTAACTAACTACACGTACTCAGGTACTGTACTTAAGTAGCCTACTACTGTATTTTGTACTTATAAAATACTTACTTTATCATGCTTTATCTTAACTTGAGTATTTCCATTTTATGCTACTTAGTTCTTCTACTCTACATTGTTGAAGAAAAACAGTGTGCTTTTACTGTACTACATTTCTTTAACACTCATTAACAGCTACTTTTTACATTTCAAAACACCTGACCTTTCTTAATATAATGATATATATGATTTAGTTCTATAACTAACTCCTCTCGTGGCTCTTCATTCTTTATATCTTGTAACTATACAGAACCAGTTTGCATCCCTCATGGAAGCACGGACCAGAGCTGCTGTAGAGAAGATCCTAATGCTTCTGAAAGTGTCTCTGTGTGAAGCGGCAGAGCAGAGGGCTGGGAGGAAGGACGAGAAGAAGCAGAAAAATAACAAGAAGCGGAAAGCAGGGCAAGTGGCTGCGCCCAAAAAGCGTGAGTCAGTTAACAGATTGAGTATCTGTGTAGAGGCTTTGTCTGTTCACTTTTTTTGTACATAAAACAAGGTTTATGTTAGAGTTCTTTGTTAAGAAAAGAAAGGACAATGACCACATGTATAACAATGGTATTAAGCCAGATACTATTTCATATGGTGTCTTTAAATCCATATGAAATTCTGACAAAAAGCACCAGCCCTCTCACTGACTGGGTGAAGACTGCTTCGTAGGGTCAGTATTAGTTGGACTTTGAATTCTATTAAAACTGAACCACTATAATTCTCCTCCCACGACAGACAATTATTGTATTTTTAAAGCTGAATGCCAACACATTTTTTGATTGAACCAGAGCATTTTGGAGATTATCACATCAAAGTCCCTTTAACCCTTGTGTTGTGTTCGAAAGCTGTTACCGTTCATGGTGTTCGCGGGTTAATTTTGACCCATGATTTATTTCAGTCCAAAACACACACAAAAAAATGACTATCATCCAATATTGTTTTAACTACATCATAACTAACTTATTATGCATTCATAACCATATAATCCTGTTGTAATTTAATGTTATGGCCCAAAACACATTACACCACATATTGCCCACGTGCATGTGTGAGTTCAGGTTCAAGTGTTAGTGTACATATTCTTTGTGAAAGGTCGAGTTCTCGTGGGGGGAGGGGGCAGAGCGATGGGAGAACAGGTGCATGTTGCAAAAAAATATTGTTACACTGGATGAAGGGGGTGGGGTGTCTAAAGTCAAAGATGAATCTTGATTGGGCCAAATTTGACCCGAACACCAAATTATACACTTTTCTTTTTAGAGACCTTCAGCCTTGGCTAAAATGGTCAAAATCAGTTTTGTAGTGTTTATGTAGCTGTTGTGGAGGATATCATGAAGCCTTGTTCCGATAAAAAAAACTAGAGCGTAGTTATTATATAATTTGAACTTGAAACGGGTCACGGGAGACCCGAACACAACATAAGGGTTAAGAGGGATTGCATTGTTTACAGGAAATAACGTGACACATCTTGTTTTACACAATCTTTAGCCATTATTGCGTTCACTGTTTGGGTTAAATGTACAGTTCATCAGCTGTTCTGTACTGTTATTGCTATACATTGAATATAACATGAGATATCCATAACATAAAACAGCTTCCTTCATTTTACTAACTGAAAGAACTGACCTAAGTTATCTAGTTTGATAACCATTTCAGTTTTCTTTAAAGTATTTTGTGGTAAAGTAAGCAGTTGTAGCAGTTAGTAAAGAGCTTGTAATTGATTTAAAAATTATATTTTACAAACAATTTGTTTTTTAAATGACCAAAAGCACTTTGTGTACATTGGATTGGATTGTTTAAATTGATGTCTTTTTATTTTTTGCAGCAGATTCAGACACACATGAGAGTAACTCTGGGACCCCGTGTGAACCTGGAGCAGCCTCAGAGCCGGAGATAACGGAGCAAGAGGTAACAGAGCAAGAGGTAACAGAGCAAGAGGTAACAGAGCAAGAGGTAACTGAGCAAGACGTCGTCCAGGAAGATACCGACCCTTCAACTATCAAACCCACCAAGAAGAGCACAGGGCCTTTCAAATGTCCTTCTTGTGACAAACAATTCCGTCTGAAGTGTTGGATGGACCGTCACTACCGGACTCACTCCAAACCTCATCTTTGCTCCGAGTGCGGGAAGGGTTTCGTCGACCAAAGAATGCTCATCGCACACTCGAGAAAACACACCGGAGAAAAGCCTTACGAATGTTCCGACTGCGGGACTGAGTTCGCTTACAAAAGCACTTTCAAAAGACACATGCTTAACCACAGCCTGAAGGAGCACAGCCTGAAGGAGACGAGCTTCCACACATGCTCGCTGTGTGAGAAGCAGTTCGAGGGGCTCGCGACGTTTCAGCGGCACAGGTGCTGCGCCTTGAAAAAGACGTTCAACTGCTCGCTTTGCCTGGAGACGTTTACGTGCAGCCAGAGTTTGGTCGATCACGAGCAGCTGCATCCAGGCGCCAGATATTACGTGTGCGAGGTTTGCGGCGAGCGTTTCTTCTCCACCTCGTCTCTGGCCACACACCGGGTGACTCACGCGGAAAAGAAAAAATGCTGCGAGGAGCTCGGCCTAGGAAGCAGCGACCCGAGCGTCCTGAAGAATCACTTGAGCAAACACACCGGAGAAAAGCTATTCTCCTGCCAGGTGTGCGGTAAAGGCTGCAGTCACCAGAGCGCCCTGAATCACCACATGCTAACACACACTGGGGACAAACCGTATGTCTGCGAGACCTGCGGGAAACGCTGCGGCCACTCCAGCGCGCTCGTGAACCACATGAGGGTCCACACGGGGAAGAAACCGGGGAAGCCTGTGTGTAATATCTGCGGCAAAACATTCGTCCGCTCGGTCAAACTGAAGTACCACATGACCGTTCACACGGGGGAGAAGCCTTACGCCTGCGACCTGTGTGATAAAAAGTTCAGCAACCCCAGCAATCTCAAGATACACATGAATATTCACTCGGGGGAGAAACCGTACGCCTGCAACATCTGCGGCAGGAGGTTCGCTCAATCCGTGGGCCTCAAGCTGCACCGGCGGGTGCACACAGGAGAGGAGCCGTACTGCTGCTCAACTTGCGGGAAACGATTCATGTTCAGCGGCAACTTCAGGAAACACGAGAGGGCTCACCTGCAAAAAGAGCCAGGAGATGGACAGTCTGAAAAAACTACAGTGTAAAAATAAAAAATGTCATTGCTGAATGTTAAAGGGGCCCATTATGCTCTTTTTCAGGTTTACATTTGTGTTTGGTGCCTAGTCTACTGTGACATGTTTCCAGCTTTAATGGTTCAAAAAAGTATTTATTCGTCAATAGTATCAGAATTCCGGAAATACACTTATCTGCTTTCTTGCAGAGAGTTAGACGAGAGGAGCAAAACCACTCTTGTTTCTCTACAGTAAATATGATGTTACAGCCAGCAGCTACTTACATTAGCAAAAAGTCTGGAAACAGGAAAACATCTATCTTGGCTCTGTCCAAAAGGAACATTATTTTGTCCAGATTATACAAGTTCATGCTTACCAAAAAAGTTGTTGTTTTTTTTACATACGGAGAGGCTTAGGGGTCGTATTTTTAATAAGATAGGATCATGTCTCCTAGCTCCAACCTCCTTTTTAACAGAGATAAAGCAAGAAAGTGGATTATCTTGTTTTTTCTCAAGATGTCAAAACTTGTTGTCATGGATATTGGAGCAGATGGACCCAAACACAGGAGTCAGGTCCAACAACAGGATACTTGAATAGAATAACTTGTTATGCATGGTCTGTGCTGGCAGGGCTAAGCAGAACCAAACCAAAGACTGACCTTAAAACCAAGAAGAGTTGAAGGGCAGGTGGAGAGATGGGTGGAGATTAAGCTCAGGTGGGAGGATGAGGTGATTAGTCAGGAGAGCAGGGAAGGAGCTGATTGGCTGGGAGAAAACTAGGAGCAGGAAAGGGCTAACGATGCTGATTCAGAGCAGGTGTGTGAGGGAAAACACAGCAAACAGATCAAATAATTTAGACCAAAAGGTAAAGCTTAGACCTTCAGAAAAATATGTTTTTAATAAAATGATTTCTGATCCAATGATGTTGAATTTAATGAAAATACAAAACTAGAAAACTGTTTTTATTGACATTAAACTGAGCTCAATAAAAACGTTTTTTTTCAATGTGACATACGATATTACTTTATTTGTCAGATCAAGTCTGAAATTTGACTTGCGTCACAGCTCCATGTCCAACATCAACATACAAATATCCAGACAAAAATACATGAAACACAAACAACAAACATTTAACATAACAGCACAATCAGTGAGAGAAAAGCTGCTCAAAGAGCCTTCAGCGTGCATTTGATCTGGGATTTAGCTCTGTATTTACTGTGAGGATTGACTGATGCACAAAGGAGTGCTTCAGTCTGACTTTATTGAATCGTGGGACCCTGTATCTCCGATTAGATGGTAGCAGTTCATATAGTGACCAGAAAGATCCCAGTAAATCAGGCGTTTCTGAAAATGTTCACACCAAAAAAGACTTTGCACCCCAGCCCTCTACATATAAGATTAACCATTAACCCCTAGAGACTCATATGTATATGTACTGATAAGAATGATACAGTTTGGTCCATCAGACATTGTTTATTCAGTGTGCATTCAGACACATCTAAACAGAGAAATGATTGTGTTCTGTAGGTCATCCACTAGGTGGTGCTAGAGGATCATTTTACCCAAAATTGCACTGTTAAGTCACTACACATACTGCAACAGGAGGACACATTGGAGCTATACACTATCAACAGGTCTGCATCCTGACAGTCCTTTAAACACTATCTTTTGACATTTTAACAAAATCCTCCGAAGAAATGTAAAGAAGTCTTTGAGATTCTGAAAAGGACGTCACTTTACTCAACTACTATTAAAGATTTGGAAGGAGAAATGTTTTGAGTTATCTGACATTTTTACATTTCATCTTGAGTTTTTGATTCAATCAACCAGTTACCTTTTACACTCAGAAATATATATCACTGAACAAAAAAAACTCTTTCCCCAGCTTTTTTAGTCCACAGTAAAGGCAACAAAGACACATTTAAAAAAAAAAAAAATCACATCACAACAAACCCAAAAACAGGGACAGCAATTTAAGCGAAAGTAAAAATCTATCACTTATAAATAGGACTTTGTAAGAACCTTGGAAACTGGATTGGATGTGATCGATAGTCATTACCTGTTTCTCTCCAAAAAGTTGCTGCATGAAAAAGAAATTAAATGAAACATTAGCTCTAACATGACTTCACCTGGCTCAGTGAAAAGATCCGTGGTGAATGTGGCTGCATCAGCAACGTCGACGGTTTCCCTGCATGGCGTCCTCTCTAAGCAGCTTACACACATCTAATACCAGTTTATTGCATTTAGTATAACCTTTAGTGCAGCGCTGCTTAATGCTGCTAAGAATTCAGTGTTTTCATGGAGATTAAAGTCATACACACACACACACACACACACACACACACACACACACACACACACACACACACACACACACACACACACACACACACACACACACACACAGCATACACTTCTCCAGCAAAGAGAACCTAACCTGTGTGTCAGTGTGTTTATAGTTGTATAAAAAACAACCATGTCAAAACAGGATTTGCATTTACAAGACAACCCTTGAGAAACCCTTTAAACTTCCATTCAATAAAATAAATATACAAATAGAAATATAGTAGAATAAATGTGCTTCCTTTGATTTTCTCTTAAATGTAATTTTAGAATATATGGTATGCATGTAACTCAATTGATAACTGAATGTGTCAGTTTTCCCAATCCGTGCTTGTTGTGTTTTTAATGGAGTTTCATGCTACAACTAGTTAGCCTAATAGTCATATCAGCAACAGTTGTTATGCAAAGCAGATCAACATGTTGTGAATCTTGTTTGAGGATCACGATGCAACAACTCCTAACCAAAATTAAATTGGCTAGAGTTCAGTCCAATTCCGGTTTATCCTCCACGCTCTGATTGCATCATTTTCAGTTGAAGCTGTAAATCCACTGTAATCCACCTGCTCAACACAAACCGGCAGTCAGACATTTTCTTTCAACCAGCCAACGAAGATAGAGAAGCATTTAGCTGCTAAACAGCCAGATATTTGTCATCAGGAGTTAGTGGAGACCAAAAACAAAGCTAAAAAGAGAGCTGAATATTGGTCTCGCTTGCTAGGTGGCCAAACAAAAGGAGACTCCAAATTAATTTCTTTGTTGGAAGTGTAATAAAGCAACTGTTTGCTAACAGGTTTGGTACAAAATTGGTGATAGAGTATATGTATGTTACGTTTCTGTTCAAACATAGTCTTTACTGGCCCCCATGTGGCCGTTTTTATTACAGGTTAAGATTACAAATATTAAGGTTGTAAGATACTTAAAGGAAAATATCACATAGAGAGAGAGAGAGAGAAAAAGAGAGAGAGAGAGAGAGAGAGCACATCTTGCTGCCCAATATGTATACACATGCCACAACCTGAGGGACAGTGAATGAGACACACACACACAAAATCACGCACCTACGCACCCAAAGAAACACACACACACACACACACACACACACACACACACACACACACACACACACACACACACACACACACACACACACACACACACGTGTTGAAGTGTAATTGTATCACTGTATATATATATATATCAATAATATGTAAACATTTGAAATGTATGTTAATGTTGTTAATTATTTTGTATTTTGATGCTTTGGCAACATTGTTTCGTTTAACTTTCATGCCAATAAAGCCCCTTTGAATTTCATTGAATTGAGAGAGATAGATTCAGTAAATATTAGTCATGTGGTTTGTGTTGAAATGATTTCCTTTGTTTGTGTCCACAGTCTGCGTAAGAACTGACTAGACATTTAGAACATCATCACATGTGTCTGTTTGATATGTGCAGCTGAAAGGCATGCTGGGTGTCCCTGCATCACTGCATCCATGGACGACATCCACTTTGAACATACCATCAGGTAACAGGCGGAGGTGGAAGAAGTATTACGATGCTTTACTTAAGTAAAAGTACTAAAATCTCACTGTAAAGAAAGGTTACCAGTAAAAGTCTTGAATTAAGTATAGTATTACATTTCGTAAAAGTAAGCAATGAATAAAAAAATGATTGTAAGGATTACATGTAAGAGTACCCAATGCAGAACAATCTAAAATAAATTACAAAAACACTCAAAACTATTATTTATCATTTTTTACATAATAATTACACATTTTGTCTGACTCTCTCAAAAAGCTAATATTTTGTAAACTATTGGCTAGTTTAATTTATAACTTAACGTCCTATTTGATAAACTATCAATATATAATATTTTGTAAACTCAACACAATTATTAAACAGCTTTACATGCAAACATCTGAATTTGTAAGATAATTAAAGCTGTTAGATGGATGTAATGTAATGTTGTAAAAGGTACAATATTTCCCTTTCAATGGTGAAGAAAACACTCAAGTAAAGTACAAGTACCTCTAATTTAAACTAAGTTACAATACTTGAGTAAATGTACTCAGTTACATTCCACCACTGGTAACAGGAAGTATGTGTTCAGATTGCTTGTGTGCATGTGTGTATTTTATAAATACATTCCCCCTTTATCTCTGTGCAGTGTGGGTCAGGTGGTGAACATCAAGGCGAAGGTCAACAGAGCCTTCAACACCAGCATGGAGGTCAGAAAACGCATCACGCTTTGTAAACAAACATGAACAACAATTGTAGTATAGAAGAATACCTTTATTCGTCCCACAGAGGGGAAATGTACGATTGTTACAGCAAAGAGCCAAAGGTAGCTTAATATCTTCATATGTCACTCAAGAAGCAAGCATAACAAAAATATTAAAGATAACAAACTAGAAATGACAAATTAGTTTGCAAGCAATATAGCAGCCAGATGAAAGTATAACAAATTAGTAGAATAAATTGCACAGCTACTTACGGTAAATATATATTGCAAGACAGGGGTCCTGTTATAGTCTCTGTTGTTGTTATGTGTGTGGGGGTCTACCAGGGGCCTCTGCAGGAGCGAAGGAAGGAAGAATAGCAGCATTATAAAGGTATGTGAACTATCAGCCAGTAGCTATAAAAACTCAAACTAAAAAGTATAAATTGCACATATATTGCACCTATTATACAGCACACAATAACATTTATTTTAAACTAAAATAATTCAATTTAGTTTAGAAATTCCTTGGATTCTTTAAAATTCCAAGGAATCCAAAATCCAAGGAATTTGGGTTTACCAAATTATAACAAAACATATGTTCTTACTTGCTGTGAATTATGAAATAGTAGCCTTACATTTTTAGGTGACAGACTCTCATGAAAGTGACAGGCCTTTACTATTATTTCTCTTATTCCCCTGTGTATGCAAAATAAAACCTTCCTCTATGTTTAGCTGTTTACAAATTCAGTCCTTTTTCACAGAGCTAATGACATTAGTTACCATCAGCTAGCTTTGGAGTTTTACTGTCATTCTACAACATAGGGTTGCACAACTAACTGTCGTTTTAATATCCTGATGCTACACAGGAACATAGCACTGACAGCCAGAGTCAGGTGGAATGACAGTACATACTTCTGAATTGCTTGCCAAATGTCAGCCTCTCAACAGGCTGGGGTGGGTATTGTCAACCCAGTCTCACAAAAAAACGTGTAATAACTACGTTGGTCCACAACGTAGGACGTAGTACTTCTACAAAAAAGCCTCCACCATTGACAAATTTCGTTTTATTCTCGGTGGAAAATGCCTATTTTAAGTTTAGTTTTGCCATTAAAATGCGTTTTGATGTCATTTAATGCGAGAAATATGAGTTGTTATTTCAGATTATGTGTGCAGTGGATGTACATGATCTTTAGTTTGCTTATTATTACGAAGATTACTTCAGGAAATTGTGTCCATACAACGTTTTCATTGTTACCAAGGTGGTTGCTTGGGACGCTGCTATCGATATTATTTATGTTGTGTAACGGTTTAATGGTGTTATCTTTATTGCTACCCCCTTCCCCGTCAATTTATAGTGTTGGTCCACAGCGCAAACGTATTAGTCTAACAAAATCTGCATCTAAAATTGTGGAATAGATACGTTATTTATGTAAAA